TGAGATCTGCTGCCAATTTTACTTCCCAGTACTTGTTACGTTTATTTCTGAGATGAATCACAGGTTTGGCACTCGTAATCTTATTATTACAAATGGTATTTCATCCTGTACACCAGCTTCAGCTACTTTCTCTCTCTTCCTGATCTTACATCAATTACAGGAAAATATGACATTAAAATTCAATCGTTGGCCACAGAGTGTAGCTTCGTAAAAATGGCCATCACTCAGTGTATCAAAGAAGGAAAAACTCTCGCAGCCCTTGGACCATATCTTTTGTCGTCTCAACCAGCTTACGCTACCGTGTGGAACTTGGTACAAATTGCTCTAACCATCACGGTGACCAGTGCCGAGAGCGAACGGTCATTTTCATCACTCAAGAGAATTGAGACCAAGCTAAGAACAAGGATGACAGAGGACAGACTATCAGATCCGGCCCTTTTGTCAATTGAGCAGGAAGTAGCTGAAAATTTGAATATGGACAGTATTATAGAAGAATTTGCTTCAGTTGACAACAGTAGACGCATTGTTTTGTTCTAGTTTATGTCAATGGCAGTTATCGAGCCACACCCCTAATTTACCACGCCCTAATTAAATAGCCACACCCACATGTTCAGGAATAATATTAAGGCCCCTTAACAATTTTATCCTAGATCCGCCCCTGCATTGAGCTTTGGAAGATTACTTGTGTGGGATACCTATAGATGCCATTGAATGGACAGTGTGAAGAGCATAGTATCCAACCAGGCCAAGACCAACATTAGCACAATACGAGGAGGGTTTACATCACTGGTTCAACCAACAGTTCTTTGCTGGAATTAACCATTTAAAGCAGCTCATTATGAGTTGTACGCTGAATCAATGGTGAGTGGAGAGAAGTCATATACACCAGCTGGTATTATTCATGCACCAAGAAAACTCGTGTGCCTATGCTGGGTAAAGAAAGCATATGAGTTAGTGACCCGAGAAGTCATAATAAAGTCTTTCGAGGTGTGCAGTATTTCTGCAAGCGTGGATGGTGAGAAGACCACAAAATCCATTGCATCAAAGATGGTGAAGTAGCTGCAACAGCTAGAACATTGATTGAGTGAAAGACAAAAGGCCTTCATGAGTTTTATTATTTTGATTCTGCTGTCCCTTTTGCTGACTTAGATGAATTCAATGCAAAAGATGAAGACCAAGTTGAAACTAATGAATGTGTAATAGAGAGTCTTAATTGTAATAATCACAGTAAATGCTTTATATTTTGTGTACCCTGAAGTTGTCCCCCCCTTATTATTAATATAGTACATGCAATTTATTTCATGTAGTGTTTTCCTTAATCATAATTGTTTCATTATACAATCAATTAATCTTTGTCTTTTAAAAGTTTTTTTAACTTTGCAATACACTTAGAATTTCCATAAATTTTATATACACTAGTAACTTCTAGCCCCAGACCATGCTTCCTTCTACCTGTGATTTCACATACTATTGAACTTCTTGAGAGCCTCGTAAAGAAGAACAATATTCTTAAGAGCTCACGAGGAACATGTCTGACTGTCATCTTATCTTTTAATATAGTAACATCATGTAGATTATGATCATGCCTTCCTCTGGTACAACGGTTAACTCTTCCCCTATTAGAGGAGTCCACATAGCTTTGTAAATATGTAACAATAATTGACAAAGGGGCCCTTGTGGCGCATTATTCAATTTATCAGTATAGTGATAGTAAGTCAACTTGTGTGTTGTTGGTCGAAAAATAGCTTTTTGCTCCTAGTGATTATACATACCATAAGCTATCATTTGATGCCAAAGACGCTGCTATACTCCTTGCAGTTCTGGACAAAGAAGCTACCAGATCGTCCAACCATTGCTGTGCACGGAGCGCGTCAAACGGGCCATCACACGGAGGTACATAGGGTGTCATGGCAATGATAGGTATCCTAGCAACTTACCATGGGTACAAGGAACTATAAGCAATCACTATCTCTGTACAAGTATGGATAAAGCAAGGCAAACTGACCTTGTACTACACAAGGAGCAAGGTAGAAAAGCTAACAGTACAAGCTAGAAATGCCACAAGACTACTTTGATAATCAGGAGTAAGTAATCAATCAAAAAATACACTTAAAAAAATAATTACTTGAGACCTAGTCAGAAAAAATATTAATCACTTAACAATGCAATACCACACTTTAAACACTATATACAATACAACATAAATACTACAAGCAATACATTATCAAAATTATCATTATTAATAATAAAAATCAATAGAAATTGTCATAGATAGTAACGATGATGGGAACAGCAGTAATGACATGACCAAGAGATAACTGGGTTGAGAGGAGACCTAGGTGAGACTGGGTTAAGCCAAGACCCAGACATAAGTGGTATACGTGAAGCTGTAAACATGATTGATTTCGACATACCAGAAAATGGAGTGAGACATTTTGAGGAACCAGTGGGACAATGAGGTACCTGTACAGGTAAAGAGAGAGCAATAAACTTAAAGGAAAAGAGGAAGACTCGCTCTCTCCTTCACTCACTAAACAAAGAGTCTGACTCACAGTTATGGTGAGTTACAAGTACAATACACATTAATGTACTATCCCTGTTATATAACATAAAAATACAAACACCCATCATACTCTCTTGTGTCTTCGTCACTTACTCACGTCTTCATCACACACACATGTCTCCGTAACTCACTTAGTCATGGTAAGTTACATGTACTACAATACACATTAATACACCGTCTGTCCTATACAGTAAAATATATACAATTTCACTTTCTCTTAAACTTACCTTTCAACATTTCTTAGATTGCCTTGTATGTTTGTGTGTTGCTTTACCTTTGTTTCACTTTAGGTCCTTCAAGTCAGATCCATTCACTGAAGTGGAAACGATAATAATAACACTTATAGACATTAATGTTTATTTATAATAAATGTTATTTTTATATAAGATTCTAAAAGCTTACTACTGTCCTTAAACTTTCTACAGAGTGTCTAGAGTCTGGAAATAATTGCTTGAACTCACACGGGGTTTATAGAGGTAACACAAGGTCGCTACACAGAGTTCTTTGAGCAAATCCAGGGTCGCTCGAGCAAAAACCGAGTCTCTAAAGCAAAGAAAGAGTTGCTTGAGCTAAAAC